GATAAATCTTGACACGGACATGATGTACACAAAAATAAAAATAAAAAATTTATAATTAGGTCTTTTAGGTTCTGAAATTTTTATAACAGAAAAATTGTTCCTAGTCGAGGCTCAAACCACGGATAACAAACGCGAAATGCAAAAAAGATCACAAGTCTGATCCGCGATCCATAAATCTCCTACCTGGTATCCACTAATAATGAAAACGCAATTGATGACGTGTCTAGCCCAATTCAAACTTGGGGCGGACGCAGACTCGCAAGACTGAGGGACACAAATGTAAGATTTACAGAGTGAAAAAAAAATGATATTTATTCTCTGAATGTTCTTATATATTATATCATTCATAATTATATAAATTCAAATCTCATTAAATATATATTTTTTAAATACCAACATTTTTTTTCTTTTCAATTGAATATTCTTACAATGTCAGCATTCGTGGACTTCTTTATAATAAAGATAAATATTTTATTAGTTAAATAATCAATGATAAACACAATTTAGTAGCTAATTTTAAACATATTTTATAATTTAAAAACACCTAAAATTCAATATGTATCAAGATCAATGTTGCCTTTTGTGGAAAATCATTGTAACTCATTAATATATGTTGCCTACAACATAACACAACATAATGTAAACAAATTAAATTTTAAGAAGATTTCTTTGAAATTATTTTACAATATAATTATATATGTACTTATCTTTTTTAAAAATTGCACAGGGGTCGTGCCCCTACGAGCTCCCGCCTAGGTCTGCCCTGGATCCAAACGTCCTGTCACCCGTCACACACACACACATACACACACATGTCACACGATTTTCCACCGCCCGACGCGAGTGCCGGTGCCAGCTGTCGCTAGCCATTCGAGTGCCACGCTGGCCTTCACGGCGAGAGCCACCACATCGACACGCGAAGACAGTTACTGAAATTATTGACCGAGGAAGAAGTTATTTTTAAATGGCTTGAGCTCGTAGCCGAATTAAGGAGACTGATGAAATCATCGGCGGCATGAGAGGCGAGGATGGTGGCAGTGGTCGGAAGAGATTGCCAGGACGGGCTTGTGTTTGAATTCATCTTTCATATTTGTGGGCTCACTTTTGTAAATTTGATAATCATAGAGACTTGATTGCAATTTTAAAATTTTAATATATTACAATTTAGTGTATAGGTCAAATTTATAATTAATCAAACTATAAATAATATTTCATTATTTTAGTTAATATGTAATATTCCTATATTGTTTTGGCTGAAAATAAATAATACGATACATGAAAATATAAAAAAGAGTAATGATATATTCTATATAATTTGGTCGTTCATTTATTTTAGTTAATTAAATAAAAAACATCGACATCGAATTAATATGATCGAGTTTTTAAAAGTAAAAAAAAAAAAAGACAATCAAATCGAATTATTAACTTTTGAATTGAAAATTTTAGTTTGGTCGGCTTCGTTCGATATTGTGCAATCTGATAGTTCTTAATGTGCAATTCATATAACAGTAATGTGCAACAACAGTACATAAAATATAAAAAAATATTATTTTTCATATTGTTTGGTCGGTTCGGTTATTTTGGTTATTTTAAAAAATAAAGCCGACATTGAACTGAAATGACCGTGATTTAAAACTAAAATAATACATAATCGAACCGAAATATAAATTTTCGAAGCGAAAATTTGAGTTCGGTCAGTTCGATCTCTATTATTCAATTTGATAGTCGTTAATGTGCAATTCGTCTAGTATTATTGTGCACTTGTAGCGTCGACATTTTTAGTGATTTGATTCATACCAAACTAGAATTGATATGAAATAATCGGTTTATTCGATTGAATTAACCGAAATAATCTAAATAATATAGATAATTTATTATATATATTATAAAAATATATTTAGTATTTTAATGTTTACATTTTGATACAAAAAAGACCTCCGACCAGCTTGGATCGGCTTGCTCATGTGGTTCCTCGCCGGTTGAATGCCTTCGACCTGCAAAAACTCTCACACCGGAGGGTTTTTCAGTGAATAGCCTCCGATATTTAAAGGAGTATATGTAGAAGACGAATTCTGAAGAAATATAAAGTAATATGAACGTAATGAGGCAAATTCACACATCTCACCCCTATTTATAGAGGTGAGGTACCTGCTTCTAGAAGGCTGCCCGGATATGGTGAACTGGTTGCCTCAGCGGCCCGAGCTGCCCGGTAGTACAATCTCTCTGTCAGAATGTGTAAAAGGCAATTATGAGGCGTGAACCAATGAGATGGTGCCACGTGGTTTGACCCACGTGAGGCTTAATTCCCTTGGATAGACCACTTAATGATCCCACCCGCTCTAGGTCGATTGAGGTGAAATGTTGACTGCTCCAAGTCTGAGTGGTCGTCGATCGGGCGACCCTTTGCAACTATAGGTCGAGCAAGGTGTCGGCACGACTTCAGGGGTATGTGAGGTTGGCCCCTCGACTGGGGGCAATATTCGGCTACCTGGCGCGCTTCGCTGCTTCGCCTGCGGCGAACCGGGACATCGTCAGGCGCAGTGCACTAAGGCAAAAGAGGCGTGAGGTTTGTCGATTGAGGAGCTTGAGACGAGCAGTTATTGTGGCCCTCCTATTTTAGATAAGAAGCCGGAGGTGCCCGTGGTACGTGTCTCGAGTGACGTCGGTACGGCATTGGTACTTCGTCGGTCGCTATTGTCTTCCCACGTAGCTACCGACGATGATGGCTTGAGACGCCGACTGTTTGAATCCACGTGCACCATTAACGGTCGGATGTGTCGTTTTGTGATTGATTCTGACGACAGCAACAATGTGATCTCATATGAGGCAGTGACGAAGCTTGGTTTGTTGAGTGAGCCACATCCAGATCCATATTCTCTTGCGTGGATACAACGGGCAAATGCTGTCACTGTCACTCGTCGAGTATTGGTGTCTTTTTCTGTTTGGACGGTTTATGAGGACAAGGTTTGGTGTGATATCGTGCCTATGGATGACTGGCACCTTTTGTTGGGGCGTCCTTAGCAATTTGATCGGTCTGTGATACACAATGGGCGCCTTAACACATATGAGTTTTTACATGAGGGGGTCTGCATTGTTCTACACCCTTCAGCTCACAATTCGGTTCCTTTGTCACCGACATCGCCGACTTTATTCCTTTCTCGCTGCGAGACACGTGAGGAGTTGTGTGGGTCAGTGGATGGTATGTCTTTCGTTTTTGACGTCGGTGATTTTGTGTGGTATGTTTCCACGTCGGACGGTAGGATGGGGCCCTACGAGATCGTCGACATGCTCTCACCGGAGACCTTCCTTCTTCACTTACCTTCTCATGTGCGTATGTCGGATGTTGTTCATATGACGCAATTGGCCCCTTTGTACCTCGATCGAGACGAGCTTGGTCCGGATTCGAGGGCGAATCCTTCTCAACTGGGGGAGGATGATGGAGACGAGCTTGCGATGGCTTTTCTGGACAAATACGATCGACTTCCGACGTTAATTTAATTATACTCTTGCCTTATTTATTATTCTATTTCCTTATTTATGGTATTTAAGATTAGGAATATAATTATTATCGACAGTTATCTTGTGTAGCAAGATAAGAGTTTTAGGGTTGGACTATATATAGATCCTCTCTTTATTGTAGCAGACAGTGAATTTTGAGATCAAGAATAAAACGTTAAGAGTTTTGAGTTTTACGAGAGAGCATCTCGTGTATCTTCCATTTCGTTCACGCTTCCCTACATCACATTGACAATGCCCTGAAGAGACAACAACACTCACATACACTAGATACATCGGCACAACTCATCTAAACACCATCGCTGCCGATCTCAACCTAAGACAAGTATTCGTAATGATCTCACTCCAGGTCAAGCATCCTTCATGCTAACATCACTACTTTGCGTGTGAATCCGATAACTTCCTTCGTAAAAAGATATACAACATACAATATAACGAAATCTTGTTGATAGTAACAAAATCACTATCGAGGGTAAATAACAAAATTATGATGGACCAACGAATTAGAGTAACGGGGGATATGAACTATTCTGCAAAAGGACTTTGGGTCGACCTAAAACAAGATTAGAGTTATTAGACAGCAATACATGCTTGAGCAACAAGATATAGAGTTTTTGGGCAGCAATATACACTTGGGCAACAAGATATTCTTGGGCTAAGATATGGAGTTATTGAGCATCAAGGAACTTTTTTAGATATACAAGGAGTGCGGTATAGACATTGGGAGCTTCTTCCATTTTTACGATTTTTAATTGATAATTCACGTTTTTCATATTCGTGAGACTGATCTGATCGTCGGAGAGTTTACGTCGAGAATTCTCCCGATTCAGAAATTCAAAAATGGATGGTCACCTAAAACCGAAGTTATTTTATAGATCTCCATCACAAGCACTTATGTGTTCTTGAACTTCCACAATTATCCATCTATTCCGGTGTAAAATAATGTGGTAGCATAAAACAATATTTTAACCTTAAAAATAAAATAACGGGCCGGCCAGTATATATATTTAAATAAGTGTCCATGGAAATTGAGGGGACAATAAAATTATTAGATATATGGCAACTTGGACAGTGATACCACGAAGGACACCGTTAACATTTGTTCGTGAACTTGAAAAGATATATCACATACAGAGGAATAATTCTAGCCTTAGATTTGAGACCCACAATCCCACTTGCACATAAAGCCTGTCTAGCTTTTGGGTCGTCCACGTCACTCTCTCCCTCTTGGTATTAAGCACACGCAACTTTTACCCACTTCTTTTTTTTTTTCTTTTTTTTTTTTCTCTTGTTCCCCACTGCCAAATTTTTGAGTTTGAAGAATTATTCCAAATACAAATTCTATGCAATAAATTGGAGATTCTTGTCTTGTATGTCCTTCGTAATTTGATGTAATAAATTTTGTGTTAAATGCATTTATTTTAGAATACGTATCAATCTATATTGATAATTGTGGATGGCTCTAGCCATGAAATTTGATTAACTCTAAGAGCATCTTCAATATACATATGCAATGATTTTTAACACACGTCAATTAATGATTGTAATGTTAATTCACACTAGTATGCGACCTGTGCATTTGCACAGATATAAATAAATTATTGTGAGTCTGTATGCATATATTGATTAATTACTTTTCTTTCACTTTTTTGCAGACCAAATTTACTTAAAAGAGTTGGAATATTTTTTTTAAAATTACGTTTATCTAATTGGATGTAATGTTTATTTTGGTACGTCTTTTATTTGTGAATTATTTATTATTTATTTAAAAATTTCAAATATATTTTTTATTTTCAAAAAAAAATAATTTAAATGTAACAACAATAATAACATCTAATCACATTATACGGTCAACACATTATATGGTCAACTGTCATTAATCAAAAGTTTAAAATAATTTTTGTAATTTTAAAGTGATGAGTATTAATTATTTAATGATTAAATGAAAGATTAAATACATCAAAATGTAACGGTTTTTGGAGGGAAAATTGTTAAATTGCCACATAGGTAAAATTAAATAGGTTTTATTAAATGTTTTGAGCTAGTAATTATATATATATAGATAGGAATAATGTTAGAAGACTACAAAATTGAATCAAATTAATATATTCAATGCATCAATTTGATAAGAAGTTATTTGTATAGGTGGACCAATTATAATAATTCATTGAATCAAGAATAATGAAAAATTAAACCAAATATAAAGTGAATTAATGAGTCATCATGTTTAACATGGTGTTAGATATTAGAAAGTGAGTTCAACATTGTCAACATTAAATGACATCCACATCATCATGAAATAGCTAATGACAAGATGCATTGGAGAATAAATTAGTAACAAACTTTCAAAAGTTGATGATATGGATAATTTTTTATAATGTCAAAAGCCACATTGGAGTTGCTCTAATAGAATTGTTACTCTCAAATGTAACTTCAACTTTAGAATTATAGCATCCCACCAGACCAGCTCTTTTGGTAATCTTTATTTTCAAATTGCAATTTATATGCGTTCCCAATAAAAGAGGTGGTGCGCAGTCCCAAAATAGCTCAATGTATTGTGAAATGATCCATCCAAGATTTGGATCATGGCTGGTTGAGAT